ATAAAACTAGTATTGGTCAAATTGATTTAATATTTTACTCCGAAGTAAGGCGGACATCAAATGGGGCGTAGTTCAAGTTGTTTAGGTAATTTTTTCCCCAGGACAGTAGGTTTTTTGTTGACCAACTGTTAATAATTGTAATAATAGGTTTTACTAGTTGATCACGGATTGATATAAGCTAGAAAACAATTGAAAACCAGCACTGGAGTACTGGACAGCTGTTTCGTCCTAGTTTAAGAATCATCGGCAGTATGCACCCACCACAACATGTTCGAATTCAAGACCTTCCGGTTACAAGGCAAGCTAGCTCATATACGATTCAGCCACTGGGACCCGATTTAATGGCCCATGACTTGTGATGTCGCTTATCTGCCTCCTCAGAGCATGTTCTGTGCATTTCCATTTCTTTATGAATATTTGATAAGCAATAGGTTCTTTTCTGGTTCTCTGCTTGACAGATAACAGCCCGCTATCAAAATAGATAAACTTTGCTACTACTCCGTGTGTTCAGTAGTATGCATATCTTATTAGAAATAAAATCACCTCATTGTAGTACTGTTAACTGGATTGCCACATAGATTTGAATGTACGAATATATAACTGTCATTCATGCGTAGATTAGTATTGAATAACACCAAAGAAGACGCAGGAACCTGTGTGAAAATCCACGAAGTTCAGTTTCAATAATCTGCACTTAGCAGAATGCTCCCCAACCACATAAGCGATCAGGGGTCCGATCCCCAGCCGACGTACTCCTAAATCTCTCCCAGCAAGTTGTAAGCCCAGTAAAGAGGGAAGGCTCGTCGTAAGACTATCACCCCTACCTTGTAAAAAAAACATTACTGCTACTCAAATTTCAGAGCTCAAGCTTGGAGCAGTATATTCTATCCGGAACTGAAAGGGATGGTGGCTGAAGATGAAATAAAAATCTCAGTCGTTGCAGAACTTGAACCAGCAGTCTCTTATTCTCTAGTCTGACACGACAGCTCTACTGCCAACCAGGTCATCATTCCTCATCAGTCATCAGGGGGGCAGTAATGCCCAGTTGTGCATTTATCATCACACTAGGTACTCTGGCTTGGTTTTATCCTTTGTTAATCCTAGTTAATGTCTGGTTTTGTCCAGTTATATAATGATCCAATATAACTGACGAAGGGACTGAACATCACCATAGTAACGTAAATATTAGAAAGACCAGGAGTACAAGATTTAATAAACGCTTTTGTCATTTGAGTGTAAAGTTATGATTGCATAGGAAGGAGAGGAAATAAACTACTCAGCTGGAACGTTTTCCTGACTTTATTTACTTTTGCCTATGAATTTATAGTGTGTGTTTTACTGTCTTTGCCATAGCACATTTTGTTTCAAAATAAAATAAAATCAACCGCCATTTCTGTTTAAATAGTAAAACAATAATCATAAGTTAAATGTAATACACGTTAATTTATTTATTATTCGGCAAAATATAATATCGGCATTTAGTATCAATCGTAGAAAAAATATGCAGGTTATTCTAAAGCTTTTTCAAGTATTGGTTTGCGGGGATTTGATCGGTTACAAGACTTCATCAATAGCCTCACCTAGTATCGGTTAGAGAACCGTTGGAAAGCCGCCCCGGAGTACTGGACAGGTGTTTCGTCAGCCCAGTTTGGAACTATTCATCAGTACGCACTTGCAACCAGGCTTCGAACCCAGGACCTTCCGGTTACAAGGAGAGCCTGTTGACCATTAAGCCACTAGGACGTGACATGTTGGTTCATGAATTTCAACTTCTTCTACTTCAAGATATAGCGCAACCAGCATCCAGTGTCATCGGCAGTATCGTGAATTGACAGAAGTTGAAATTCTAGGGCCACTGGATCGGCTCCCAGTGGCTTAATAGTCTGACAGGAATTTCCTGAATTCGAAACCTAACGGTGGATGTGCATCAATGAAGTGTCCCACTCCAGGGCGAAGTAGATGTGTAGTACTCCCAGGTCTTCCAACGGTTCTCTATCCAATGCTTGCTCATGACGAAATCCTGTAACTAAAGGTTTTCATCAGGAATATTTGGACTTAAATATTTTAGGGTATGTGAAAAGACAAAAACAAAATTCCGGGTTGAATGTTCATCGTTAATTGGATAACTTAACAAACTCCTTGTGTTTTTCGGTCGTACTTAGACTCTACTTCTTATAAGGTGCAGCAAGCATCTGTCTTCATGGCCTTTATAAAGGAGGATAAACGTCTTTTTTCTGCGGGTCTGTTTCAGACACCAAATGAACTGGCAAACTAATTTTTGATTTATCGGTAGCATACATGTGAAGCTTGCAAGAATGCGAGAATCTAGCTTCTGAAAATTTCAGAATCCATGACTGTGCATATATTAAAACCTGAGTTCTGCGTGCAGAAGGAATTTCTTAAGTCAGAGAGTGCTAGACTTCCACTACAGTGGTTGAATTATTGATTTACAGGGATTTAACTGATTCTAAATGAGATCATGAAATGATATCATTTGGAGAACCACTATAAACAAGTCAGTACTGGAGAGCTATTTCCTCCTATCTTAGGAGTCTTCTACCATAAGCATCCATAATGCTCCCTCCTTTTGCGGAGGGTGACGGCGATATCGAACCTAGGATTTTCAGTTTCCGAGGTGATTTGACTTAAAATTTCTCACACAGCTGTAGAAGAATATTGGCGAAATTTTGGTGTGGTTGCGTTCTCTGAGCTGGATAGTTAATTTGCGAAACTTTCATCACCCTACTAGGTGACATTTTCAGCGCATACTTCAATTTGAAGCGAGCTTTTAGATTTCTCCACGAGTTTATTAATCATCTCTCCCGGTGACCTTGAACGTGATTGGTTGTTTTTGTGCGTTTTCACACCTTCTAGGCTATTTGTGTTGGAACTGATTGTTTCTTTGACTTGAATTTCGACCATTTGTGTGTGACGTTTATTTCTTACTGGTTGATAAATTTTGTCTGTCTCAATGTGTCTATTGATTGATGATTCACTGGAATACCAAGCTTCTAAAAATTCTTTTGCATTTTTGATGTTTCCTCTGTTTAATTTTTGAAAATTGTCCCAATCGAACTGATGCCCGTGGTTGTCTGTATGTAGTGATATGAGGGGGTGGATGTCATATCTTTTGACGGCTAGCTTATGATCGTGGATACGAAGACAAAGGGGACATCCAGTTTGTCCAATGTAGTATTTTTCGCAGTTGTTACAATTTATTTTGTAGATGATGTTGGTTTTATCTTCTTTCGCTGTTGAGTCTTTTGGTTGACACAGTGTCAGCTGCGTGACTTGGCTTTGTTGGTTTGTGTGCGACGTCGATTCCTAAAGGTTTGACGAGTCTTGCAGTGATTTCTGATATATCCTTTATACATGGCAGGGTGGTTTTCTTTGTGCTTTCCTTGGGGGCTTTTGGTTTGATAAGTTGGCTTAGGGGTATATGTCTTTTGATGAAATTCCGTGGATATCCATTCTTTTGGAAGACGTCCATGAGATATCTTTCTTCAATTTTCCTTTAGTTGGGAGTGCTGCGATGAGTCCTGGCCCTCTTGAATAGTGTTTGTATGCAATTCCTTTTGTGTGTTATTGGATTGTTGCTGTTGTAGTTCAGTATTTGATCTGTGTGAGTTGATTCGAAATTTCAAAAATTAACCCAGTGTTAATTATTGACTGATAAGCGGAGGAAGTTCCAAGATTTCTAATGAGAAGTAGTGTGACTAACAGTCTCCAATAAGTTGGATGTAAAGACAGATTCTCGCCTATGGCATTGGATAATAGTGACGCCATGTATCACTAACTTTAAAAATTGGTGCCCACTAGATTCCATCTGACTAGCCGAATACTCATTGGGCTAGCGTAATAAACAGAAAGCTTTGGGGCGATTATGGACACTTACTGCTGAAGACTCATAAGCCAGGACCAAACAGTTCTCCAGTACTCCTTGTATTCCTGTGGTATTTCCAACTGATACCAGTTCGTGATCCAACTAGGGATAAAATATTTGTCTTTACATTCTTTCCTATAAAGATATTAGTGCGTATTATTGAAGAATTGAATAATATGAAGGAATAGTTTAACAGTTCTTCAATTAGTATTAACTCTTGAGGTATATTGTCTTGATACTTTATCTGCTATACAGCAACTGAAAATCTGAATGATTATTTGTATAGAACTTTCCCAAATGCTCTCCTACTACTGTCATCTGAAGAGTCTAAAGCTGGGATGAAACATCTATTCGCTGGTGCTGGGTTTTGAAAGATTTCGGACCGTGATGAAATCCACATCGTAAATTCTTTAGATGAATCAAGATATTAGATCTATACGGCAGTTTACTAGGTCTAGAGTTTAGCTGCGGCGGCGTTATAAATCACGAATTGATGGGAGTTAGAATTCATGGACCGCAGGAATCCATCTCAGTGGCTGAATAGTAAATGGGTTCGTGCTATCCTTGGGTGTTGGATGCGGACTAATGAGGAGTCCCCCAAACTATTTTTAATGGTTCTCTGACTGATATCGATCTGCTAGCCAACTTGAAATCATACAAATAAATTGAAAGAATTTGGGTTTTTACTTTCAAGTGTCTTCAGATCTATTTAATTCAATTTTAAATTTTCCCGTCGATTGATTGGACCGAAGTGCTCGGTCTCAGGTTGACATGTCGGCTCCTTGAGCAGATGCTTCGACGACGCCTGGGCATGTAATTAGGAGTTAATTGGTGGATGGTAACATGCAGTGGAATCTAGGATAACGCGCATTTCGTCCAATTTGGGACTCGTCGACTGGAGGTACCTGCATTCCTCAGTAAGTGATGATGTTCAGGTTCATCCAAATAAGACGAAATGCGTGTTGTCCTGGATTCCACTGCTAGTCACCATCCACCAGTTAACTTATAATGTCTTCAGATCTGTTGTGTTTTACAGCATATATGCGACAAATCCTCATAAGTTGATTTTTTTAATTTCCTTTATTTTCAAACCAATTCCTTTTTATCCTTCTTGCAGAAATTGTCAGTTTCATCGACTGAGAGTAAAGAACAGTCGAAAAAGCCAGCGTTGAAGCTGTTCAGGCGTAGTGAACCCCTGAATTCTAGTACGCATCGATCGTTTCTCAATTCAGAGAAGGCGAAACATCTTCAAAAGTCAGAAAATAATACTTCAGATGCTTCTGTTCAAAGAATTAACACTTCACGCGGTGATAGAAGTGATTCACTTATATCGGCAATGGCAGCGACAACAGCAAATAGAGAAAAGTAATTTCTTTTTCTGTAATATTCAACTTCTGCTTTTTAAAAGTAAAAACTCACGATTTTGAAGTCATAATGGAGAAGACTTATAGTACAGATGAATGGTTTTAATTATGGTTGTTAATTACGGATGTTTCATCGTCCTCCTAGATAACATCTTAAGAATAATATAGCTGTTTTTTCTGAAGGCGATGACTGTGAATGACGGCCTTGGGAATTTTTGTCTTAACCTAGCGTTAATTTGTGCTAGTGTCTGTCGTTTCTTCGTTGAATTGGCATTTGACCTTTTGATCTAATGACGTGTTATTCATGGAATGATAAATTTGATCTACATCCGCAGAAGAAGCATCAAAGATAGGACTTCAGGTGAACATAGATAAAACAGAGGTGATGAATATTCCTGGGCAACACCACCAACAGCAACAACAGAAAACAATCAGCATAAATGGGAGGAAGCTGAAAGAAACAACCTCCCTTGTCTACCTGGGAAGCATCGTTCCGAATACAGGCGGGCGGAACTGACGAGGATATCTAAGCAAGAATCGGAAAAGCAAGACAAGCTTTCACTACTCTCAAGTCTGTGTGGAGGTCAACAGTATTCAGCATCAAAAATAAGATTCGGATTTTCAACTCCAATGTGAAGTCAGTCAGTTCTACTATACGGATCAGAAACTTGCACTGCGCGTCATAAAGAGCATCTCAAACAAACTACAGACCTTCATTAACAGTTTTCTTCGCTCAATACTCAAGATCAGATGACCAGAAGAGATCAGCAACAGGGATCTCTGGCAATGAGCGAACCAACTCAGCAGGAACCGATTGTGAAACAAATAGGCAAGAAGAAATGGAGATGGATTGGCTGGCCATACTCTGAGGAAACAATGCATCGAGTGACATCACTAGACAGGCCATTGCTCGAGTGGAACCGGAAAGGGAAGCGGCGAGCTGGTCGTCAGTGCAAGGGTGACATGGAGGAGGTCATGTGAAGAGGAGATGAAAACGTGTGGGCAGACTTGGAGCCAGTTGAAGACTCTAGCAGAGAACAGAACGCAATGGAGACGCACGGCTGAAGCCCTATGTTTCTCTAGAAGTTAAAGGAAACAATAATAATAATAACATCCGCATGTTTGTTGACTGTAGGTAGATCAGAGTACAAGACTTCTGAAAACTCCTTGTCATTTTTAATATTTTCAATGTTTAAAAATATTGATATGAAGACATATATGTGATATCTGTTGACAGCTAATTGATGTTCTTGGATTCAAAGTTGAAAAGGAAATCCAGGGTGAATTCTAAAAGGTTCACTTCCCATTGAAGGAAGAACTTAAGGTATTATCTAGAAGGACAATAAAAGTTTCACATTTCAACCACCAACCAGTTCAAAGGACATAACCACACCAAAATATTTCGATTTTTTACATGATATGAAAGATGGAATGAAGCTGTTCAAAAAGAGGAATTCCTGTTGTATTAGAAGTTTGGCATATTTATTTTCTACTGTTTTTGAGTGCCTTGCAGCGCTTGTATCAGTATCTTCCGTCGAGTTTCTACTGGAATTAGTGTCAGGATGACTTTGAATTTCAGCATAATGATCATCTGTTCAACATTTAGGTCTTGTAGCTCAGCTGGTGGAGTCCTGGACTGGTTGGTAATTTGGAGGCCACTAATCCGAATCGTGCCACAGTTCCGGACTTTTATTCTGTCTTCATCACCATCCGTTGCATCAGTAACTACTTTGCTGAGTTTCTCTTTAAAATTATGACTTGTTACAAGCTTGCTAGAAGATTTATCTTCCAGGCAAGTTCAAAATACTTAAACGAATGACAGTGTGTGATCTAAACCTCCTGAGTTCGACCTCTGATGAGTACCGCTGAAGAAATTAAAAGCTGTCTGGAAAACTCACAAGGGATAGATATTATTATTATTGTTCCCTTGGGTTCCTAGTGGAACATAGGACTTCAACTGCACGTCTCCACTTGCTTCTGTCTTCTGCTGTACTTTTCACCTGCATCCATGTTAATCCATACTGTTTCAACTCCTCTTCACACGATCTCCTCCATGCCACCCTTGCACTGACGTCTCACTCGCCACTTCCCTTTCGGGTTCCACTCGAGCTATGGCCTGACGCGCGATGTCACCCAACGGCCTCCTCAGCGAGTGTTCAATCCGCCTCCACTTTCTCCTGCATATTTGTTGGGCGATTGCTTCTTGTTTTGTTTGTTCCCATAGTTTCTTGTTGGTGATTCTTTCCGGCCATCTGATCTTCAGTATAGACCAAAGACAGTTAGTTGTTGATAAAGGTCTGCGACAGGCTGTTGGAAATATTCTTTGTGACCCGCCAAGTTTCTGATCCATCCGTATAGAAGAACTGACTGACTGACTTGACGTTTGTATTGAAAATCCGAATTTTGTTGTTGATGCTGAGTTGAGTGAGGAAGATTTCCAGATTGGTTTCAGGTTGATGAATGTGTTTCTCGCCTTCCCGATTCTCGATTTGACATCCTCGTCCGTTCCTCCTCCTCCTGTAGTTGAGACAATGCTCCCTAGATAAGTGAGTGAATGAAGTAACCTCTTTCAAATCCCTCCCGTTGATGGTGATTGGCGCTGGATGTTGTTGATGCTGTTGTTGTTGTTGGTTGGTTATTTTCATGACCTCCGTCTTGTCTATGTTCACCTGCAGTCCTGCCTTTGCTGCTTCTTCGACCAGTTTTTCGGTTTTCGCTTGTAAGTCTTCGATTTTGTGTGACATCAAAGATAAATCATCCACGCGCGAAATCTAGGTCTTCTAGGTTCTTCACGTCGGTCCAGGATATCCCTGTCTTCTCGTTTCCCACTGTCTGACGCATAATCCAGTCCACCACAATTAGGAATATCATTGGTGATAATCAGCACCCTTGTCTGACTCCTGTGTTTACTCCAAACGCCTCACTGAGTGAGTTTTCCGTTGTGGATCACTTGACATGTGCCGTTGTCATACAGCTGTTGAATAAGGTTGATGAATATTTGGGGTACGCCGTAGTACTTGAGAAGTTTCCAAATTACTTCGCGGTCAACGCTGTCGAAGGCCTTCTCAGAATCTATAAAGTTGAGGTAGAGGTTTGATTGCCATTCCATGCTTTGTTCTGTGATGATGATGCGTAGAGTTGCAATTTGTTCAGAACATGATTTGCCTTTCCTGAATCCAGCTTGTTCTGGTCGGAGTTCTGTATCCAGTGCGTCCTTTATTCTCTCCAGGATGATACGACCCAGAATTTTACTTGGAGTCGACAGGAGCATGATTCCTCGCCAGTTCTTGCAGAGTCCTAAGTCGCCTTTCTTTGATAGATAGATAGATATGCATAAATCAAATCCACAATTTGCAAACTGGTTAACGATTTGCAATTTACACACAGTTCTTGTGGTGAAGTTTTACAGTAGTTTCCATTGAAAACCAAAGTTATTCCGATCACCATATGTTATATGCTTGATGCCACGAACAGTAATCAAAGAAAACAAGCAAATTTGCATAACACTATGTGCTATTACTAGTGAAACGGCCGACCGGCGCTTAGATCACCACTCTCTGGCTAACAAGTACTGCTGGCTGATATGCGACTACTTATCCGACTTAATCAGTAGTATATAGTTTTTTGCGAAGAATGAATGGATTTATAGATTTAGGTCAAGGAAACAACCAACACCAATACCAATTCAAGTAGTCTAGAGGGTGTGAAAACACACAAAAACAACCAATCACGTCCAAAGCCAACCACTAGGAGAGATGACTTATGAACTCGTGGAGAAATCGAAAAGCTCACTTCAATGAATTGAAGTATGCTCTGAAGATGTTTCCTAGTAGAGCAGCGGAATTTCTGCAAATAAACTGTCCAGCTAGCTCAGAGAACAAAACCTTGGTGCAATATGGCACCAAGGAGATGCGCCAAACGATAATAATAAAACACCATAGATTAGAAGTAAAAATATAAGTAGAGAACGGATAAAGAACTTCATCAGGAAGGAAAACAGTCATACTTAACAAGTTCAAACAGTATTCGTCAACTGTCATCGGGAAGATAAGAAAGAACGGAATTGCAACACGTTCGCCTTTGATTACGATTCTTGGCCATATCCGATAACGCTTCGAGCCATCGATTCGAGCTCTCTCTCGGACCCCAACCAGGGAGTCGTTACGCACCCGCCGATGCTAATCTAGCACAAAAATCCTTCATTCCACGACGCTACGTCATGGACTGACACCCTCCCAAGGCTGGCTAGCGAACAGAGACCTGTACGGAAGCCTCTGGGATAACATTCGCAGCACATGTCCAAGCCACCGGAGCCGGTGTTTCCACCCAACGAATGGTGATCTCCACTGTGTTCAGACACACGCCGCCGAACCTCAGAACTACTCACGCGATGATGCTATCGAACGCAAGCAGTCCAGCGGAGACAGCGATGATCGAACACGCAGAGCCGCCACACATCCAAAACCACATCAAAAATTAGACAGATCATGCACAAATTCTGTGATTTGAATACTTTTCAAAACGAAATGACCTTATGGTCTCATATTGAAATGTTTCTGAAAATTTCGTCAAAACACTGACTTGAAATTAGTATTGAAGATGGTGTTCCTTTTTGCTGAGTGTAGAAGATTTCCACACTGATTTCAGAAGAGGAATGAAGGTGCGTGTGTGTTGCTTTTCCGTTCCTACCTTTGACACCTCCAACTGTGCCATATATAGTAGTATTAGATGAGACCATGCTGCTTAGTATGACATTGTACTCTATAAGAGTAGTAATGCATTACTCCGTGTTTATCACTATGTAGACGTAACCGATCAATATTGATTTTTCTTTCATATTGACCTTATTGATGTATTAATTTAGATCTGCATTTCAACCAGTCGACATGATTTCAACTCAGACTGACAGACAACAATCCACAAAGAAAGACCGTAAACGATCTTGGCATAAAATGTTCATGTACACAAAACGATTAACTTCAACAAAACACAATTCCCCGTATAAAGTGAATTCGAAGGGCACTTGTCAAAAATCTAAAAGTATTAACAAGAGGAAAAAACGTGAAACTGAAACTGATTCACAATCTGTTAAACGTAAGTTTTATTTAATTATCTCACTGTCTTTTTTTATTGTGGAAAATTATATTCCCTGTACTGTTATTTGGATCGATGATATTTTAGTGTAAGGGTGCCATGTAGCCACAAATAACAACAATAATGATAAGAATGATGAAATGGCATTGATCATATCGTGTAAACATAGACGTACTATTAGAGAACTATTGTTACAACAGAAGACAAGGCTGGCAGCAGATCAGTTTTATTACGAAAATCAACAGGTATTTATATGTATTTTACGTACATTAGTAGGCTTCTGCCCGCAGAAAGAAGGAGGTCTTCTGATTGGTTGTTTGTAAACAAACGCAGTCTTCTGCTTTCTCGTTTTCGATATTTCTCGGAAATGCGAGCCACTTGTCTGCGAATCATATTTGTCCACGTCTAGGTCAGCTGTGATCGGTCGTTGAATCAGCCTAGATTAATTTCTATCAATCAGCGTAGATCAATGTCTACCAATCGGCTAGCAGCTTGCTCTCACCACACTATTATCGGGTAATAATCAGTCTAATGAGGTGCAATGAACAGGATTGTATAAATATAATGACGAATTCGAAAAGCATTACGTAGACATCAGTTAATATACGTAATAAGATGGGTTACGAAATTGTAAATTGCCTGGAATAAATGTTTGCCAATTGAACAATGGAGAAAAGGAAACAATGGGTTAGGAATTTAAAATGCCAATGTATATATATGTATATGTTATTATTGTTCCCTTGGGTTCCTAGTGGAACATAGGGCTTCAAATACACGTCTCCACTTGCTTCTGTCTTCTGCTGTACTTTTCACCCGCATCCATGTTAATCCATACTGTTTCAACTCCTCTTCACAAGATCTCCTCCATGTCACCCTTGCACTGACGTCCCACTCGCCGCTTCCCTTTTGGCTTCCACTCGAGCGATGGCCTGACGCGCGATGTCACCCAGTGGCCTCCCCAGCCAGAGAGTTTCCAATCCATCTCCACTTTCTCCTGCATATTTGTTGAGCGATTGGTTCTTGTTTTGTTTGTTCCCATAGTTTGTTTCTCGTTGGTGATTCTTTCCGACCATCTGATCTTCAGTACAGAACGAAGACAGTTGTTGACAGAGGTCTGCAACCTGTTGGAAATATTCTTTGTGACCCGCCAAGTTTCTGATCCGTCCGCATAGAAGAAGTGACTGACTTGACGTTTGTATTGAAAATCCTAATTTTTTAGTTACAGGATTTCATCATGAGCTGACATCAGTTAGAGAACCATTGGAAAACCTGGGAGTACTGAACAGCTGTTTCGTCCTAGTTTGGGACTCTTCAGCAGTACGCACCCATCGGGATTCGAACCCTGGACCTTCTGGTTACAAGGCGAGCTCGTATACCATTAAGCCACCGGAACCCGATCCAATGGTCCATGAATTCTAACTTCTGCCAATTCACGACATAGCGCGAACCCTAGCCAATGTCTTCGGCGAGTATTTGTCCTCACGCCCGACCTGCTGCACCCTACTGGTCACGACTTCTCACTAGAACCCCAGGTGACTACCCACCTGAATAGGGAAAGTCGCTAGTGAGCATCTCATTGATGAAATCCTGTAACCAATCAAATCCCTACACACCAACACTTGAAAATCCGAATTTTGTTGTTGATGCTGAGTGACGAAGATTTCCGGATTGGTTTCAGGTTGATAAATGTGTTTCTCGCCTTCCCGATTCTCGATTTGACATATATATATATATATGCGTCGGTGGCATAGTGGTTGGGACGCCCGCCAACCATGCACGTGGTCCGGGGTTTGATCCCCAGCCGACACACTCCTTTACTTCGCTAAGCCAGAAAAATGCTGGCGAAGAGGAAAGGTTGGGCACGAGGCTAGCAACCCCATACTGTAAAAATAAACAGTGCTACAGAAACTTCAAGCCTCTGGCTTGAAGCCCTATGTTCCACTGGGAACGTGAAGGAATAATATATATATATATATACATATATATGAGACAAATTGTGAAACCGTGTAACTAAAATTAATAAGATTACGAGCAATAAGTTGTGCTCGAAACCTTGTCATCCAGTTGTTAATACTGCATCATCACTGTGTGATTATTAAAATAAACAATCCTAGTCTTTGTATACAAAAGAAGTTTGTTTTACGTTCGTCTCTCCTTTGGCCTAGGTAAAGTCTAATTAAAATTTTCTATTTCCTTCGTATTTCAAGGATATTTATTTAAACTCTGATTATCTGTCCATTTCCCCTTTAGTATTACGTAACTTTTAAGATTTGACCTAATTTATTTATTCATTGGCTTGTCTACATAAACACACATATTACTACCTTTGTTATTCTTATCGCCACCTGCATAGACCTTAATATCAATACTTTTGTTATCATTATAATCATCATTACTACTGACGTTCAAAACACTTCAACACATTATTAGTAGTATTTGACCTATAAACTCAATGTCATCGGTCAGATATGAGGCTGCGTAAATCAGAGTAAAACCTGAAGATCTAATTGTTCTAATATTCATATAGTCTGTCTTATACCACTGACTATACTCACCCCTTGAAGCCTGTACCTTTATTGACAATATGTATTTTAAAAAAATTAGTCCCTTTTATAAATTTGGATAGCGTGATTAGAAGACGGAGATTATCTGAAAAAACGATGTGATGTATTTGCGTCATACATTTCGAAGAATCGGATCCCTCACACATTTACTTGTCAAGTCGACATATATGAAAAAAATAAGGGCAATTAAATCAAACAAACGCGACAAGAAAGATTTAAGAATAACTAACACAACTTTTGGTAATCCAATCAAATAAGGATTACATACATTTGTTTTTTTAACCATTTTGGGATATGCTCTCCCACCCTCACGTGAAAAGCGCGATTACTCCTCCCTATTTATGTGTGACCACATACACAGGAAAATTGGTAAACAGTATGGGATGTGACATAATCACTTGTGCACTTTTGAGGTTTGTAGTGGAGCATATTTTTAGCTTTTTTCGACAATTACAAGCTAGGCTGCATAATAGGGTCTACAGATGATCGAATTCAACCTTTGTATTGATCATAATCTCGTTGAAAACGGATATCCTTTAAAAATTTTCAAGGGGTGTGGAAGTCAATTAGTCTTTGAACCTACAAACCATACCTCCCCTAAAAAATGTTTTCATCAAATTACCATATAACGGGGAAATAAACAGTAGGATTTTGAAACAAAGGTTAAATTTGATCCTATGCAGGATCTTTTATGCAACCCAGCTTGTAATTGTCGAAAAAGTCAAAAATATGCTCCACTGCAAACCTCAAAAGTGCACAAGTGATTATGTCACATCCCACACAATTTACCAGTTTTCGTGTGTGTGTGGTCACGCATTCATAGGGAGGAGTAATCGCGCTTTGCATGTGAGGGTGGGAGAGCATATCCCAAAATGGTTAGAAAAACAGATGAATTGTGAAAAACCAATAGATGCAGGTATCAGACTACCAACTTCGTCTATAGCTAAACACCTTATCCAGGTGAACCATAAGACTGATGTTAACTCAGCCCTTAAGGTTATCTATGAAAACGGTCAAGGGCGCTTATTGAAATACGCCGAGGCTATAGCTGTTCATAAACTTAAGCCCCACTCCTGTGTATTCAAAAACAGCTTATTAATACTCTTAACCTATCTTGATAATCCTTATTTGATTGGATTACCAAACTTCGTGTTAAACACTTGTCACTTTATTTAATTTTAATAATAATAATAATTTGCTTTATTCCAGAAACAGTACTAGTGGTACAGTGTAGAATTTTCAGCACATATCTACAATATTTGCATCTAATTTTACAGACATTTAAAATAAGTATTAAACAAAGAAAAAAATAAATCTGAAGACACCAACAGCAAAAAAAACAAAAACAAAAAAACAGGATAAACACAAAATAATTTTAAAAAATGCGAAAAAGTACCAGAGTCTACCAAAGTCTAATGCAGTGTTTGTGGTAGTAGTGTGAGTAATCCTGAATAATACAAAATTTTTTAAGGTGGTGACTATGGCGTTCACAACCAATGATTGTCAGTTTAATATTGTCGAAAAGTATAGAAAATAAGAAAAAACAACCATAAAACTAATAATTACATGATGGTTAATGACAGGGAAGTTTTGTAATACTCATAGTGCTAATATAGTCGGAACCAGTAGATACACAATAGAAGGAATATAGTAAAGTACAAAAAAGGAAGCCAATGTTAATATTTTAGGTGGCTAAGTATGTTTGAGAAGGAGTTCACTAAAGAATACAAAATAAGAGAGAAATAAAAGAGCCTAAAATTATGTCGTTAAAAACAGAGCAAGTCATAAGTTTCACGCTTAACATTGTCTCTGTCGCTTAGAACACGGACCAAGTATGGTATCGTTGAGTTCCTGTACTTGGTTGTACGAGCATAGATTATTTTATACTTGATGGGATACAAGGCGAGAGTTGGGAAGAGAGGGGGTGTTGGGAGTCAGAGAGTATGGTTTCAGACCATTTTTCGCATGTATTCAGATGCCTATCAACTAAAGTAGTGACGAGCTGACTGAGTTTTACACCACTTGTCCTACTGACTAACTTCAACATCCTTCTCAGGATGGTGTAGTCCTTTGTCAGTAGACCAGGAAAGACTAACGGGAAGCAGTAAAGTAGAATAGGTAAGATACAAGAGTTGACAAATTGTGAAAGTAGAGGTTGTTGCGATTCCAGATTGTCTAAGTTTCTTAATGTAGTAGATTAGACAGAACACTTTCTTAGAAATCATTAGGATATGAGATGTCCAAGTAAGGTCGGAAGATAGAACTAGACCGAGGTATTTCGCATTAGACTTAGTTTCAATTTCAGTCCCCTTAATGCAACAGTCTTCATGAGAACTTACTAGTGTTTGTGGATCTCATTTATACCTAAGGGAGAAGTCAATAGTCTGGCATTTTGAGGGATTCAGCATGAGACCATTTAGTTTGGACCACTCATTGATGTCCGACAGGAAGCTATTTAATTTGAGACAGTCTGACTGAGACTTAACTTTTTCATATATATCGACTTCACAAGTAAATGTGTGAGGGATCCGATTGTTCGAAATGTATAACGCAAATACATCACATTGCTTTCAGATAATCTCCGTCTTCTAATAACGCTATCCAAATTTATAAAAGGGACTAATTGTTATCATTACAATTAATATGACTAATTACATAATCTTATTATTCTATAGACAGAACACCATGATTTGTTTATATTTGAATTTTTATTTGTAAAGTTATTTGGGCATATTCGAGTTAAGGCTGATGAGATCTAATTGAAAACACTATTGTTCGCTTAAATGTATTGTTCTAAATTTTACTATGGGAATATCAGATAATCTCCGTCTTCCAATAAAGCTATCCAAATATCTATTTTGTGCAACTTTTAAATCTATCTTATCAAACTTTTCGGTGTGTTATGTAATTTCCTGTTTACCTAATAATCGTATTATTTTTCAAGTGTTTGTTTGTAGGGTGGGTGTATGCATAATTTGGGCTTAATAATTCGAATGTCTATAGCCTCAGCTATGTGCAGCAAACGAATACAAAGTCCATTGGAATGATACGGTTCAGCCATTATCCCATCCATTGGTCTATTAAAACCCAACCAACTGATGACGTCACCACCATCTCTTACTTATATTTCCAAGCCCTCTCTTATCACTCCTCAATCTTATCACATCTTCCTCCATTAAAACACAGTTTATTTACTTCCCTTACAATCAATCTAGCATTACTTAATCGGTCCATTTATTTTTCTTTGTCTTTATCGACTATTACGTCTACCTGAACATTTGTTTGTTTTATCGTGCTGTTGTTTTCATTATTCTTGTTATCACGGATCACCCCACTTTTTCATTCTTGTTATTATTGATAGAATCCTTATTATTGTCGTGATTAATTACACAGCTTATATGCACAATCTTATCATCCTATTGACACCGTGATTGGTTTATATTACTAATACTTCATTATAATAAAGGTTTTTGTATTTCCCAATGAATGAAAAACAAAACGATATTGTTTTTACTGACGTTTCTCTATTTAATGCTAATAGCTTTATCAAAGTATTATTAAACCGGGATTTACAAAATCTCAGCATATATATAACAAACAGTTAGGGGGTGAGAAAATAGACATAGGTCAAGTTAAAGGGACATATTGAAAGTAAAAATAGCAATGAAGATAACTAAACCAAATAACAAAGGTAATAGTATGTCTGTTATGATATCGAAATAAATTTTACTAACTTGATCATCGTTCGTCAAATGGTGTTGCTATGGGTCCACCAGTCCTCCAATAGTCGCCGACCTTTTCATGAATAAATTCGAAAATAGCATCTTTTCAAGCATACTCACTCCAAAAATATGGTTAAGATATGTAGATAATACTTTTGTAGTACTAAAACGAGATCTACACAATTCATTCCTGGAGAAAATAAACTGTGTATCTCCCAGAATCCAATTCACTTCGGAAGCAGAATCTGATATCAGTGAACTACCATTTCTAGACTGCCTAGTTAAGAGAAGGGAAAACGGATATTTTAGTATATCCATATTCAGGAAGAAAACCCACTCAAATAAATATTTAGACTTCAAGTCATCACATCCCATCAGCGCAAAGATTTCAGTTGTTTCAAGTCTTCTTAGACAAACACACTCTCTGATAACCGACGAGCAAGAAAAAGAAGAAGAAAAATCAGACATTACTGAAACTCTCAAGCAAAACAACTACCCATGGAACTTCATCAACAAAATCAACACAGACATTAAGTATGGCCGAAAACGCATTCCGAAAACATGGACATCAACAGTCGTCATTCCATATAGAGAAGAGACGTCAGACGATATCAGAAGAGTACTCAATCAGCTCGATATTAGAGTTTTCTTCAAAACATCAGACACACTTCAAAGCAATCTTGTCCATATAAAAGACCAAATCCCTAAAGATTGTCTATCTAATTGTGTCTATAAAATAAAATGCTTGGAATGTGATGCGATATACATTGGACAAACATCTCGAAAAATCAAGATCAGAAGAAATGAACACCGTAGAGCATCTCTTCGACCACCGAGAAATCCTGTTGAACTACAAAGACTTGAAAAATCATCAGCCATGCTATTATTATCATTACTACTATTATGATTAATTGCACAATTTATATTCACCATCTTATTATCCTATAGGCAAAACACCATGATTGGTTTATATTTGAATATTTATTTGTAAACTTACATATATTAGAGTTAAGCCTGATGAGATCTAATTGAAAGCACAATATTGTTCGCTTAAATGTGTTGTTCTAAATTTTACTATGGGAATATTTAATATATTGAAATAATAAAATGACAAAAGAGACAGGAAGTTCCGATACGAAAATATGGTAGTGTATATAGGGATTAAGAAAAACTTAAATATAACATGAATAAACAGGAAGTTTGGATAAGAAAATCAATGGGATAGTCACTTTTAAAAGAATTACCTGTTTATGATGGCCATGGCAGGAACAAGGGTTGTACGTATTTCTTTTGGCTACATAGCCTAGTTGATGATTTCGTCGAGAAGAACATTATCTTCGCTGCAACCGTCTTTTTATTCAAATTTACTAAAACGACTAGTTGTTTTGAGTTCGGTGATGATCGAATCAACTTTTTTTTAAATTTCTTTTCAGCCATTTCTACTACTAATACAGACAGTGAACGGACTAACCCAAAGCAACACACCTCATCACTTACAGATTGGTTTACACGTCGAAGACTCAAATCTCCAAATGGTTCAACATCTCCAGATATTAATAACATAAAATTTAAGTCTTATATGGATTCAACTCCAGTTGCAAAAGCTGAATCAACACACATCATCAATACATCTAGCAATTATACAGTCAATAATTCCTCTGAAAATAATTCCAGTCGGAAGTCGCACAGTTTCTTTCGACATTTTAGACTATCGAAATCTGATTATGTTCACTTGGCTGCTGTTCCATTACTCCCAGAAGGTGTTGAAGTGAATCCTGATTTGATCAGCAGGAGAGATACTTCTTCACTGCGTCAGTCCCTAGTTAAATCCCCCAGAAATCCGCTTATTTCCCCGCTGAGTGAGCCAAATTCTTTCGTTACACAAGGTAGAGATGTTCGAGATAATTCTGGTGATATTCTGTGTGAAAAGGCTGCAAATTATCAGTTAAATTCTTCTCGATGTAAATCAGTCAGCTCCAAGTAAGTTAATAAAAAGCATTTACTTTAATTAGTATGGGATGTTTTTTATCCGGCTGCATCTTCTTTCGACTTAATTTATACGGAAAAGAAAAGCAGAGGATTAAGGTAAACCTAGAGCTGTACTCCTGACTGATGTCTGCTGCCTGAACGTGATGATTGGGCTGTACTGGCTGGAAAGAATGTTCCTACAAGTTTTATACTTGCGTGGTGGGGATTTGAAGGCATAATGGTACTGTTGGCAGAAGGGGAAGTACCGACAGTTACGTGCTTCTCTAGAGCAAGCCAACTTTGTCAACTTTCGGTTCTCTGTAAGAGATGTTATAGAAGGTAGATCCTACAGCAGTCAGTATCTGGAGGCAAGGTTCTCTGTGGACATAGATTCACAATCCTCACTTTCAAACAGACTGTGTTTGTGAGTGTCTTATCTGTAAGTTATCGAAACCGTATGAAGTGCCTGAGAGTGGAATTAGAGCTCTGTCGGGAAGAATCACACAAAAAACAATCCCTGTAGATAGCCTAAGGTCAGAGTGACTCAAACAAAGTCACAGTCGTTAATTATTATTGTTGTTTCCTTTAGTACCTAGAGGAACATAGGGCCTCAGCCACACGTCTCCATTGTGTTCGGTTCTCTGCCAGCGTTTTGACCAGGCTCCATGTCTGCCCACACGTTTTCATCTCCTCTTCATATGACCTCCTCCAAGTCACTCTTGGACGGCCAACTCGCCGCCTCCCGTTCGGTTTCAACTCGAGGACCTGGCCTGTGATGTCACCTGATGGTTTCCTCAGAGTATGGCCAATCCATCTCCATTTCTTCCTGTTTGTTTGCTGCACAATCAGTTCCTGGTTGGTTCGGCCGCAGAAATTCCACCTTGTTGCTGATCTTTGCTCCTCGGCCATCTGATTTTGAGCGAAGTATTGAGTGAAGACACCCGTTGATGAAGGTCTGCAGTTTGTTCGAAGTGCTCTTCATGACGCGCCAAGTCTCTGATCCGTATAGTAACACTAACTTCACATTGGAGTCTAAAATCCGGATCTTATTTTTAATGGTGAGTGTTGTTGACCTCCACCTAGACTTGAGAGAAACGAAAGCCTGCCTTGCTCTCCCGATCCTCGCCATGATATCCTGATCAGTTCCGTCCACCTGAAGTTGAAACGATGCTTCCCAGGTAGGTGAAGGAGGTTGTTTCTTTCAGGTTCCTCACATTTATGCGCATTCGTTAAACAACACATTATCAATGTCATCACATAACCACAAAGAGAAGCATTAGAATTAGAGATTACAAAGGAACAAACACAAATATAATAAGGATCCAGTCACCACATGTTGTGTAAACGTCAGAATGATGATATAAAGTCAAGGATAAAAACGGATAACAATTACAAAGTTAGTTGGAATGTTTAAATTAGTAGCATTATGTTACATAGATCGTTTAGGAGAGATTTTCTAAACGATTATTCCGTTATACTAAGGGTCTGTGGAAAAGAGTGCTGTTGCATACGGAACACCTGCATAAGCCGTATTCATGCAATAATCGACTGAACGGATATTGGGAAAACAGCGCTCTGTTTAAGAAGTAATATTACGTATTAAATCCCTTGAAATAGTAAAAAAGTGAACGGTATAATAGGGAGAAGAGATTTACACTGTCTAGTCATCCCTCGTACGATAAACTAGTCATGCCGAGAATCATACGTGTTGCCTTCCTATGAACCCTTTCTAGAATAGATGAGTCCCATTTAAGACAAGGACTGGTTGCCTGGATACAGTTTTCTAGTACTGACCTCACGAGAGATGCATATAAAGAGGTGAACATATCCTTGGTGATTCTAGTAAAGGCTCTGAAACTACAAGCAACCACCGCGCAACACTGTGCTGTAGTTATTAAGTCTTGACTTACTATGGCACCGAAATCCAAATGAGTCTGAACCAATGGGAGTTTTATTCCCTCCAGTTTGTAGGAGCTGGTCCTTGCGTGTCCGATGTGCATGGTTGCACATTTCGCTACATTGATTGGGAACATCCATTCTCTGGACCAGTCTGATAATTTGTTGCGGTCTTATTGCAACAATAACGTATCAGTGCCTCATTTTTCTGTGTTAAATATCACACAGGTTCATGCATAAAGTGTTTAACTGAATATTCTACCGCCTTTTTACGTTTTTAAGACCTGAAACACCGACACCAGTGAAACCAGCTTCACATATCACACAAGTACTATCGATGTCAGTTGAGAATCCCGACGCTTCCGGCAGAATTGATTTAATTCGTACATCAAGTTTACTGACACGTAAACAACGCTATCTTAAGCGTTTAAAAGCTGCACAAGAGTTGGATTCACCTCTGATAAATAATAACAACCCATTGTACACTAAGCATCCATACCTTCAGTCGTTTAGAACAACTCCAACTCTAACTCCAAATGTATCTGGCAACCGATTTCGTAGAGTACACAGCTTCCCAGCTCTGAGTAGACAATCTGATACCACCATCAAGAGCAAATCTGGTAATCATGATGCTTCAGTACAAATCAATTATGAAGTCAATGAAACATCACTGAAAACTGATGATGACAGAAGCGATCCAGATAACTGTTATTCTCAAAGAATCAATTTGGCCTTAGGTCCTACTTCCACACATAGAAGACTAAATGAAGTACAAAAGAAGTCAAGTATAAAGTACACTGAGGAACCGGTAAGTTCATTCCACACATATTTCAGTCTAGAGCATTTATGGCTGAGTATTTCTCTGTTTTCTGGCAAAACTATTCTCCATGTGTTTTGATAATCTTCGCTCTGCTGGCATTATTGTCATCTTTACCAGTGCAGTGAGAAAGTAGATGTAGAAGGTTCACGCTTTACAGATGATTTCTGACTGAATAACATTTCGGTTATTTTCTCAGCACCACCAACAGCCTCTGTCGTCGGCGAGTATTTGTCCTCATACCTAACTTCGTGGACCTCAGTTAGGAATTAATCAAGTTCTTACTGGAAACCGACTACCAGATCAAAACGCCCAGAGTTCTAGTGTGAAGTTGTGTCCATTGGGATCCATCAGGTCATGTGTCAGGAGAAATACTTGTCGACGATACTGGCTGGAGGTGGTGCTAAAAGAATCGCGAACTATGACATAAGTTTGAATACAAGGGCCATCGAATTCCATCCCGGTGGTTGAATGGTCAGCGAAATCATCCAGTAACTTGAAAGCCACGTGTGCGTAATCCTGAAGACTTCCAAACTAGGATGAAGCAGCTGCCCAGTACTCTCAGGTTTTCAGTGGCCTGCTTACCTTAAGCCATAGACTACGCTGTACGTCAAGCTTAGTTGACAAACCAAAAAGAAGGCGGCAACTGCTGGAGTAGGATTTACAGTTTGCCCTTTCATATATCAGTGCATTTTCAGTAATGCTAAAATTGATATCAACCTTTAAGTTCTCTAAATATTAGCTAAATAAACTACTGAACTATAAAAGCTTTTATTCTATTTTTTATTTTATAATACTTTCATAAATCTATTAGCATTAAATAGCAAAACGTCAGTAAAAACAATATCGTTTTGTTTTTTCATTCATTGGGAAATACAGAAACCTTTATTATAATGAGTCCCGATCGAAAGCTGCTACCTTGACGTGGTGGTCGGGCTTGCATATCGCAATGACCCAACAAGCTACACTGGCTGGAACTTAAGTTCCTATAGGTCTTACCATGCCAGAAAGGTTGTTTGGATAGCGGTTAGACAAAAAGCAGCTACCCAGTCCAATGCCATGACTCAAACAAAAACACAAAATATCATGCTGGATCGGTCGGGGCCCGGATTAACAACGACCGCTCTTCCTGCTGCCGTGTCACAGGGCAGAAGTGATAAATACGCTACTGAGACACACCAAATAAAAAACAACAGACAAAAACAGGCCGTATGTGACCGGCCTCAAGCAGTTGTCCCCTGGGCTCTGCGGTCACGCAACCAACTTCCACGGTGTGGGTAGCCGGGAAGTAACAATCGCCCTCACAATCCGAAGCGCACACGAAACCTCTCTAATCCCCACTCACCTTTGTCTTCATCTTCATCTCTATTACCTTGCCTTCCTTCTACTAATGCAACTCCTCTACTTAGTGGCTCTTCACTTCCTCTTCCCTCTGTGTGCACTGATAACGATGGAAGCCAAAAAGCCACCATCGATAGTCTCTCTATTATAATGAGTGTAAAAACTTTTGATGGCAATGATTACTGAAGTTTTTCGTCAAGTTTATTCAGAAATGAGTTGAAGCTTTCTATCACAATTTAGTCTCAGCTAACGTGCCTGACACATGCCTCAGCCATCTCGCTCGACGCAACTCGATTAACTTACATCTACTTACTTAACACTTTCTACTTAATCTCCAATGTTAGAATTCGATATCAGTGTCCAGTAGTGTGAAGTGGAATAAAGTTAATTTCTCAAGCATGAATGAATTAGTTTTTTGTTGTGTGGAATAAAATGAACGTTTTGGAAAACAAAATTCTATTTAGAGTACGTAGGGTACTTTGGTAGAGTATAACTCCATTGTGGATAAAATTTTTATTTTGAAAAAAATCACACAGTGTTACACAGTGATATTCGGATACATATCATGGGTGAAGAAAATTTTCTTTTCGACGAAGTCATCGTCAACTAGGCTGTACATTCGTGTATTTACAATAAATGGGTAGGAAAGTTCCAGAATAATTTCTGGTCAAGGGTCGGATCGTGTCTATTTTTGTTATTTCTACATTTCTAACCCGTAATTGCACAATCAGTGTCAATCTTCTCAGTAATTATGATGCTACTTTGTTTGAGTTTTATCCTCCCTGCCCGCCTGTTTATTATGACATTTTAATTCCTAATTGTAATTTTATTAATTTGACTCTTGACCGGAAATTATTCTGGAACTTTCCTACCCATTTATTATAAATACATGAATGTACAGTGATACTTACTGATGAGCAATAAATTGTGCTCGAAACGTGGTCATCAGTAAATATTACTACATAACACTATGTGACTTTATTAAAATAAAATTTTAAACATAATAGAATTAACAAGAAATGTCTTTCAACTGTAAGCAGCTGATGAGAAGCCAACGAAATAAACAATGCTGGTACCATTTTATTCTGCACAAACCATTGTTGTCTTTGCTTTATTTAAATTAAGCTATTTTTGAGATAACAAAACGACTAAGTTAAGAAATATACTCTCTCTCTATTGCTAGAATTCAGCTCTGTTGTACAGATCTCGCATGTAAAAACCACAGTATGAGACACACTCATTGTGTGTGACTGTTGTTGGTACTGACCTGTCCCTTAGACTGAAGTGGATCTGGCGCTGTATGAACCACAAATTGGTGGTGACTAAGCAGTGTAATCCAGGATTCTCATTTCACCCTCTTTGTACCAACAATTCCCAGTGAGTGAGTGATAGCGTTCCCGCTGGGACTCGAACCAAGTATCCAAGTGTCCTGGTGGATAGCACTTTGATATCAATGGCTTAATGGTCTATGAGCTTGCCTCGTAACCAGAAGGTCCTGGTTCGAACCCTTGCGGTGGGTGCGTACTGTAAAGAGTCCCGGACTGGATCGAAACTGCTGTCCAGTACTCCAGTGGTTCTTTAACCTATATGAGCTCACGATGAAATACTTTAATCGAAAAATCTGAAGTGTCGATTTGCAGGGTAGATTTCCTTACTTCTTCCCTGAGATCATAGAGCACAGCCAGATCAAAATCATTCACCTACGCTACAAATCTCTTGTATGCATCCATGATCCCACTTTGAATCGCTCCTGAGAATTTCGGATAACGAGACAAGCTGACTGTATTATCTTATCATATATACTATTGCAGTTTTATTTCTTTTACTTTATCACTGTCTTAATTACATATTTTAATTTCAGTTGTACAGTGTCCAATCCATTGTTCAGAAATATGAAGCTTCTGATGAACCGCAAAAAGAGAATTCCAGTCAAATATTAAATGAGACAATTAGTTTAAGTGAATTCTTATCCAAATATTGTAAGGTAACAACTTCAAAGTCCACTGAAGCCAATAATTCACCAATTTCTCAAAATTCTGAGAAAAACAGTCATCAGATAACTGCGAATTCGCTTAATCAGCATGAAAAGACACAATATGAATCAAACTGTGACAGTAGCGTATCAATTTGTAAGGTGTCAATTGGTGTACAGTGTACAATTGCCAGTGGGGATAATGATGAGGATGATGATGATGATGATGGCGGTTGTCGAACTAAACACAGTACTTGTGATACAAGTATGCAAACAGAATCGATTAACTGTTCATCATGCTTGTCTTCAAGGTATGTGACTTTCGTATATATATATATATATATTCTGCGTTAACAGTATGGCTATATTATTATTACTATTGTTCCTATGGGTTCCTAGTGGAACATAGGGCTTCAACTGCACGTCTCCACTTGCTTCTGTCTTCTGCTGTACTTTTCACCTGCATCAATGTAAATCCATACTGTGTCAGTTCCTCTTCACACGATCTCCTCCATGTCACCCTTGCATTGACGTCCCACTCGCCGCTTCCCTTTCGGGTTCCACTTGAGCATTGGCCTGACGCGCGATGTCACCCAGCGGCCTCCTCAGCCAGCGAGTGTCCAATCCATCTCCACTTTATCCTGCATATTTGTTGGGCGATTGGTTCTTGTTTTGTTTGTTCCCATAGTTTCTTGTTGGTTCTTGTTCTTTCCGGCCAACTGATTTTCAGTATAGAGCGCCTAGATTACTAGCTCGCTAGTTTTCTAGCCGGTCCCAAGCCCGGATAAAGAGGGAAGGTTGGGGCGAGGTGCTAGGAACTCCACCCACAAAACTTAACCAAATAGCTACAGAAACTTCAACGCATAAATATATTAAAGTACGGCTATAAATGTAGATTTATGCTGATCGAGAAGTACAGATGCCACGGACGAATATTCTTCTTCAAGAATTGAAAAAATTTATTTCCCGATACGAATTTACAAACAAGCAACAAGGGTGTTAATAAAGCAAGATTTAATGATGAATTCATCAAATTTCTGTAGAACTCGTCAACTGAATACTCTACATTCACGGATATATATATACTTTTGAAATTACATTGGGAGATATAGGACTGATAAGTAAATAAACTACATTGAATTAGTCATGCAGAAAGATAGGTGCGAATGTTTTTCCAGGTCATGTTCAAATAGATAAGTGGGGGAGAGGGAGTATGAGAGATCAAAATTAAGATAAATTGCATTACGCTTCAGTTACATCACTCAGATAAACAATTAGTGACTAGAGAATATAACAAGAATTGCAAATAGAGTAATATCAATAGTAATAGTTATAATAGCAATAATAATAATAATAGCGAGTAAACTAGGAGAGGGTTTCTAGTTTAGTTAACTGGTTCAATATTTTCATCAGTTACACAATGTGGTTTAAAATTTATACTGAGAATAATTTTTACAATCAATAATAATGTGTTGTAATGTAATGCATACTCTATATTTATTTGTATTGCAATCAGAGTTGTAGATACATGCCCGAATTCAAAAAATAACCTTTCCCTATCTACTCATGGTGACAATACGCTGAATTCTCAAATTCATGAGTTGGCCATTTCATCATCGGATGACTTTTATGACTTACCAAATCCTGCTTCAACTGGCAGTTTAAGTAAGTTTCTTTGTGTTATACGGAAAAAAAACATTATTTTATATGTATGGCTGTTATACCTTTGATTCAGAACAAATGATGATAGTTAAGCATTAGTTAGCGGAAAGGAGGCTGTGCTTAACTGACTGGCTCATCGACGTAGAATCTCGCATAGAAGTGCATTGGTTCAAGCTATGCCTCAGTTAGATTATTACCATTGTTACTATTCCCTCAGGTCCTTTTTTGAAATCATCACTTCATTAGCACATGTCCATTTTGTCATCTCCTCTGCAGTCCTGGTCAGTTGGCCTCTATGAATGTTCATAAGATTTCATCTCCTCCTCAGACAATCTCCTCTGTGTCACCCTTGGACGCCCAACTCATAGTTTCTCATTCGGGTTCCGTTCGAAGTTTTAGCGCGCAATGTCAACCGACGTTCTCCTCAGAGTGTGTCTGACTCATCTGCACTTTCTTCAGGATATTCGTTGAGCAATAATTTCTTGGTTTGTTCGTTCCCAGAGTTCCTTGTTGTTAATTCTTTCTAGCTGACCATCTAATCTCCATTACTGAGCCGGTGAAGGCAGCTACTGATAAAAGTCTATAGCAGCCATTTGTGAATGCTTTTCCTGACTCATGCAAAAGAAATAACTTGACAATGGTGTTAAATATCCGAGTTTTATTGAGTATTCAGAGTGCAGAAGATTTCTAAATTGATTTCAGACTGATGAAGGTGTGCCCTGACTTTCCGATTCTATCTTTGACATCTTCATCTGTCCCACCACCCATGGTTGAAGTGATGCTTCCTAGATAAGTGAAGTGAGTGACTTCTTTGAAATTTCTCTCGTTGGTAGTGACTGGCTCTGGTTGTTGTTTATTGGTTATCTATATCGCCTCCGTCCTCTCTATGTTCACTTGAAGTCCTGTCTTCACTGGCTGCTTCTTCAGCCAGTTTGCTGGTTTTCGCTTGCAAGTCTTCGAGATTGTGTGGCATTAGACATAAATCGTCAGAGAAGTCTTGATCTACTAGAGTCATCTTATCGGGTCAATGTGTTCTTGTCTTGTCACTCCCCATGGACGGTCTTTTGCATAATTCAGTCTATCACACCGTTTATCATTTGGGTTTCCCTCAAGGGCCTGGAAAGTGATGTGACTAAATGGTCTCCGCAGCTTGTATCTAATCCATCTCTATTAGCTTCCACATATTTTTTGGGTAGCAGGAACACATGAAGTGGAGAAAAGATGTAATCGACAAAGATGTAAAGAGAGAAGGGATAATTACATTTCGATTAGTAAAGATTTTCAGAATCTAGATGAAGTGAATTCATCTGGGCATCACTGTGAATCATTTCTTGTTTTGTCACTGATTTTGGGTATTACTGAGGACTTCATCAAGACAGTCAACACTTCTCTAAGTTGCTGAAACCAACAGTTGAAGAATTCATAAATTTTCGTGAAGATTTCCGCATAATTACACATGAGAAAATATTACTGATTTGGCACACGTTATGCGTATCCTAGCAGTCTCAGTTGATGCAGATTCACTGCCTTATCGATCAATATTCCCTTCTTACTTACATTAGCTTAACTTACTATTAGTGGACTTTATAGAATAGCCTGGATAGTTATCACTTTCAAATTACCAACAATATGGATGCTGATTTCTTCTTGAAATACCTAGAAGAGAAAGAATACATGCATTTCTTGACCAGAGAGTGCAAAGAGCAACTGGTTAAAGCTGTTTGAAGTGGTTTCTGGAGTTGTGTCCTTATATGAAGATGTTATCCCCGGCTACGGACTACCTTAGGTTGAGTCTGTATTTGCAAATTTTTTGGGTGGACAGCAGGTTGGGTGTGAGAAAAATTACTCGGCACCGATGATACTGTCTAGTGGTCGCGATATATATCGTGAATTGTCAGAAGTTGGAATTCGTGGGCTGACTATCCGATCGTATTCCATTGGCTGAATGGTCCATGAGCTCGCTTTGCAACCGGAATGTCCTGGGTTTGTACCTTTGCGGTGAGTGCGTACTATTGAAGGGTCCTAGACTGGGATGAAGCAATTGTACTCTCAGTTTTTCCATTGATCCTTTAGCCAATTTCAGCTCATGATGCAATCCTGGAAGATACGTGATTATGAATCTTTGTTTGGATATCCTACATTTCTTCAACCTAACTATTAATTTTTTGAAGCTATGATTTCGCCATACATCTTGTGGTAATCAGTTTCGCAGATGTATTGTCCTCGTCTGTTGGTAGTTTTCAAAACAGTCCTTCTAACTTCTGTAAGATTTAATCACACAATATCACTGTCCTGTTTAGATAGTGATTTTGACAGTTGTCAATGTAATCATATGTGTAAACCAGCAATCACGAACAATAACATATAGTTCAAGGAAGTAGATAATATAGAGGGGTGGCTTTAACTGAACGAGTCCGTCAAAGTCTGTCCACAATTTCAGAACAACTGGTAGTGCTATTTGCAGACTGTAAATTATGAATGAGAAATTTGTGATTAATTCAATTTTGATTTAACCGTCGATTGGCTGGAGGCCGAAATGTTTGACCTTAGTTGACATGCCGGATCCTACTACGAACGCTTCGACGTTGTCTTATGATTAACTTTCAGTAACTCTGGTAAGTGATGACTAGCAGTGGAAGCCAGGATGTGCATTTCATCTTTTATTTTGTACTCAGTGTCAACATGTACCTCCATTTGCCAATGGGTGAGTGATGATATTCCTACGGAGACTCGAACCCAATACCCACCGTTTGAGTTAAATCAGTCGATAGAAAAAATCGGAAATTGAATTAAATAATAAATTGTAACCGATCACCCGTTGCCAAAGAGTTGGTGGATCTCGTGACCAAAGTGGCGTTTGAAACATCGGGTATTGATTTCGAACCTCACTGGGAATGCAAGTGCATCCAGCTGGCGAGTCCCAAATAGGACGAAATGTGCATTGTCCTGGATTCCACTGCTAATCATTATTTAACAAATTATGCGTGAGAGATTCTTACCAATAGCGATTTTTTTAATGTATCGTTTTTAGGCGGAGAAATTCCATCAAAAGTACTTACCAACCAGATTACTCATAAATCAATCTCCACTTCCATGCTGGACATTAAATGCTCTGGTCAATTTCGGAAACTTTTAAACTATTCAAAAATTTGCAGATCAGCGAGTTTTCATTTCTCTCAAATCAAATCAGCTGACAACGTTAATCAGAGCAAAGATTTTCAGGCGTTTCCCAATAAAACACCAACCAACCAACCTTTTCATGATAACGAGAATGAGGATGATACTGTCTCATCCTATGGATCATTTCCCACACCACCGGCTACTGTTCTTCAACACTTCAATGAAGAGTCAGACAAAATGCCATCAGGTGATGATGATGATGATTATCATAGTTTTTTAAATATTCCGCTGAGAAGCACCTTTCAACTTGTTGGACAGGTCAACTTACATCCGGCTAGTTCTTCACTTCGAAATCCATCGTCAGATTACCTCTGTGAAAGGAATCCTCTCTCCGATATTCAGTTGAACAGTAGTAACTGTCAGTACTTATACCAAAGTGAAAATCAATATGAAATGAATAAACAGCTGTCTAACTATTTGAACTCACTGGATACTACAGGTAAGCAGTCACTTACAGATTAGTGTACTTTAACAGTTTTTTTGACGCTTTTCTTCCACCGTTACTTTTTGGATAAAGATTCATTAGTATGAAGTTGAGAAATTGTGAAGAAAATTTCACTTATCGACGAAATCATCTTCAATAGCTGTATAATCATATTCACATTTGCCGTTAACTGTTAAGGCAGCCTTGGTTAAGTGTCTAACAAACCGAGCCATAGCACTAAATAACACAAAAAAAGACCTAAACGACGAAATAAAATAGATAGAAGAAGCGTTGGTGTTGAATAATTATCCTATAAAATTCATTAGGAAGATAACTAAAGGCCAAAAACAGAATAAAAATAATTGTGTAACTAGTAGTAATATTATAAATAAGAGAGAATATAAGTCATCCACTGCATTACCATATAAGGAGGGGACATCTGAGACCCTACGTGGGATTCTTAATAAAGCAGGAATTAGGGTGGCATTCAAACCTACAAGCCCACTCAGGGAGGACAAGCTCTGTAGATTAAAAGACTCTGTTGGTTGACCTAATTAAACAAAATGATATAATTTACAGAATACCCTGCAGTGACTGTGAAGTCAATTACATAGGTCAAACTAGTAGGTCAGGGATAGTCAGATTATCAGAACATAAGAATTTAACTAAGGGCACAATGGTTGACCCTGGAAAGATAAGTAATTTAGAAAAAAGCTCAGCAATCGCACTTCACGCATTAATAAACAACCACACAATAGGGTGGGACAGGGTTAAAATTCCAAAGAGTAACATAGGTAGGTGGAGAGAGAGGTTGATTACGGAATCCTTGTTCATTGAGTCTACACCCAACACACCTGCATTAGGAATGACTCATTGCAAATACCAGAAATATGGAAGATATTATTACCAACAGTGAAATCAGGGGAGGATAATAAATGATCATAAAATTCTATTTCAATTCAAACACATCACAACATTCTAATAATTAACTTATTATGACTATAGAAACACTCGTCTTATTTCCCATCTAATTGTAATTCTTCAATAACACTCGTATTATTATTTCTGAATGTTCATTATCACATATTGATTTTATTCCAATATCTAATCTATTCCAGACATGTATAAAAATGAAGGAAAAAGTGGTGTGAGTGAGTGACTTGATATGATTATGACTGGCAATAGTTTATGCTGGGAAAGTGGTCATCAGTTAATATTACTTCCTGTATAACACTGTGTGATTTATCGAAATAAAATCTTATCCATAATGGAGTTACACTCTACCACAGTGCCCAAGTTTTATACTTATATCAAGAAAATTTTTCGACTAAGTCATCTTCAATAGCTGTATAATCCTATTTATATTTGAGGTATTCTTGGTGGATGGTTACTAGAAGTGGAATTCAGGATAATGCGCATTTCGTCCTATTTGAGAATGCTGTTCAGCTGGATGTACCTGCACACCCCCAGTGAGTAAGTGGTGGTGTTCCCACTTAGGCTCGAACCCCAGTAACCATCGTTTCAATTGTTGTGAACGTATTACAGACTATTATTGAGTAAGAGGGAGAGGAATGACTTAGCAGATACAGTAATTCATAAGTGGTTTCTTAACGAAACGATTACGTAATATCAAAAGATTGATTACTGGACGAAGAATATTCTTTTCGATAACTTCTTCACTATGCTCTACACTCATATGATCATAATAATTAAAGAATGCTTTCAGGTTTAATATTATTGGTCCCTTTGGGTTCCTAGTGGAACATAGGACTTCAACTCCACGTCTTCACTTGCTTCTGTCTTCTGCTGTACTTTTCACCTGCATCCATGTTAATCCATACTGTTTCAACTCCTCTTCACACGATCTCCTCCATGTCACCCTTGCGCTGACCTCCCACTCGCCGCTTTCCTTTCGGGTTCCACTTGAGCTATGGCCTGACGCGCGATGTCACCCAGCAAGTGGCCTCCTCAGCGAGCGAGTGTCCAATCCATCTCCACTTTCTCCTGCATATTTGTTGATCGATTGGTTCTTGCTTTGTTTGTTCCCATAGTTTGTTGTTGGTGATTCTTTCCGGCCATCTGATCTTCAGTACAGAGCGGAGATAGATGTTGATAAAGGTCTGCAACAGGCTGTTGGAAATATTCTTTGTGACCCGTCAAGTTTCTGATCCGTATAGCAAAACTGACTTGACGTTTGTATTGAAAATCCGGATTTTGTTGTTGATGCTGAGGAGTGACGAAGATTTCCAGATTGGTTTCAGGTTGATGAATGTGTTTCTTGCCTTCCCGATTCTCGATTTGACATCCTCGTGTGTTCCACCTGCCTGTAGTTGAGACAATGCTCCCTAGATAAGTGAATGAAGTAACCTCTTTCAAATCCCTCCCATTGATGGTGATTGGCGCTGGATGTTGCTGCTGCTGTTGTTGTTGTTGTTGGTTGGTTATTTTCATAACCTCCGTCTTGTCTATGTTCACGTGGAGTCCTGTCTTCTCTGGCTGCTTCTTCGACCAGTTTGTTGGTTTTCGCTTGTAAGTCTTCGATTTTGTCTGACATCAAACATAAATCATCCACGCGCGAAATCCAGGTCTTCTAGATTCTTCACGTCGGTCAGCACAGGATATCCCTGTCTTCTCGTTTCCCACTGTCTAACGCATAATCCAGTCCAGTCCACCACAATTAGGAATATCATTGGTGATAATAAGCACCCTTGTCTGACTCCTGTGTTTACTCCAAACGCTTCGCTGAGTTTTCCGTTGTGGATCACTTGACATGTGCCGTTGTCGTACAGCTGTTGAATAAGGTTGATGAATATTTGAGGTACGCCGTAGTACTTGAGGAGTTTCCAAATTACTTCGCGGTCGACGCTGTCGAAGGCCTTCTCAAAGTGTATAAAGTTGAGATAGAGGTTTGATTGCCATTCCATGCTTTGTTCGATGATAATGCGTAGAGTTGCAATTTGGTCAGAACATGATCATTTGGTTACGTTTTGGGGGTTTAGTTGCTAGCAACACGCCGCAACCCTCCCTCTTTATCCGGAGTTGGGACCGGCTAGAAAACTAGCGAGCTAGTAATCTAGGCGAGGTTGATTTTAGCTTTGATTACGGATTAATATCAGTCAGAGAACCCTTGCAGACAAGCAAGGAGTACTGGAGAGTTGTTGCGCCTCAGCGGTATGCACCGGTCGCGTTTCGAACCTAGGATCCTCAGGTTACAGTGCGAACTCGTAGACTATGAATCCACTGAAACCACTCCAATGGTCAGCACATGAATTCTAACGTCTACCGATACGTGATTTTAGTCCGATCACTAGCCAGCGTTATCCCTGTTGCAAGTATTTGTCCTCATGGGTCCAGCTATTCACGACTTCGCCCTAGAACTTTAGGCAAATTCGTAGCGTAGCCAGTCACTAGCAAGCATGAGATTATTCTTCAAGGGTTAGTTGGTAAATTACGTACCTATGAAGATTTCCAAACTAGGATGAAGCAGCTGTCAAGCTTTCCCTTCTTGTTTCGAATGGTTTTTTCACTGATATCAATCCGTGATCATACTAGAAACAAATCAATACCCTACAGACTAGCTCTTAAAGAATTACTGTTGCTGACAACATTAATTGTCTAGAAGATACTACTGGTTGATATGAGTAGTGTCATGCATCTGTGTTTGATTTCTTGATTGCAGTTTATGGTATCCAGCAGACCACACAAATTTATATACTGTGTTGTGAAATGTCACCTCTTCGAACTGTACAAATAACAAATAGACAATTTGATTTATGGTGTTACCATTTCACCCAAGTAGCGCACCAGCTAGATTTCGAGTGGTTCGAAATCATTTGACTCTCTGAGCTCAGTCAAATAGGGTACAAGGGTAGAGTAAAATTAATTCCATTATGGATAAAAGTTTTAATTTGATGAAGTCTCACAGTGTGTTGTACAGTAATATTTACTGATGACTACATTTCGAGCAAAGTTTTTTACTGATCATAATCATATCAAGGCACTACTCACACAACTTTCTTGATTCATTTATACCTTCATCACCTCCATCTTCTCTACATTTGCTTGAAGTCCTGTCTTTGCAGCTTCCTCTATCAGTCTGCTGGTATTCGTCTGTAAGTCTTCGAGTTTGTGTGACATTTAACATCTGAATCATCTGCGATATCCAGATCATCCAGAGTCTTTTAATCGATGGTCCAGCGTATTCCTGTCTCTTCGCTCCCCCGTCGCCACACACAGTGTAACTCATAATCCAGCCCTCCATAATTAAGAATTTCATCGTAGATGATAATAGGCAGCCAGCTTGTTTTACTCCTGTCTCTAGTTCGAACGCCTCAGTGAGTCTTCTTTTGTGGGTCACCTGACACATGACACTGTCATATCGCCAGCTGTTGAATGAAATTGATAAAGATTTGAGGCACTTCTGAAATAAAGCCTTATTATCATTCGCAAGTATTGGTTTTGTAGGGATTTTGTTGGATTGCGTGGAGGATTTTATCATGAGCTGATATCAGTTAGAGAAACACCGGAAAACTTGGGAGTACCGGACAGCTGTTTCATCCTAGTTTGGGACTCTTCATCAGTATGCACCCACCGGGATTCATGCAGTTAACCTGGAGTTCTAGTGGGAAGCTGTGACCACTGAGTAACAGCAGGTTGAAGATGAGGCAGTAACTCACTTACGAAGACATTGCGAAGTGGTCTCGCTATGTCGTGAATTGGCAGAAGTTAGAATTCAAGGACCATTGGATCGGGTCCTATTGGCTCAATGGTCTACGACCTCGCCTTGTAATCAGAAGGTCCTGGTTTTTAATCTCGGTGGGTGCGTACTGATGAAGAGTCCCAAACTACGACGAAGGAGCTCTCCAGTACCCCGAGGTTTTCAAGTGGTTCTCTAACTGATATCAGCTCATGATGAAATCCTCCATGCAATCCTTATTATTATCATTATTAATAATAGTAATTTTGTATTGAACCAGACCTTCAACCAATTTTACTGTTTTACTTTATGTTAATTCTCTCTTTTTATTTTGTTTTTTGTCCTCTCCACTTGACACATAAACAGATGAAAACTTACCGCCAACACCAGAATAATCAATCAGTCTCAACCAAGGAGTCAATCCGGGTCACCATGATCGCGATCATAATCATTAATCATCAATCATTATCCTTTTTTTCCTTCTTCAAAGCCATCTGCCTTGTTGTCGTCCTAATCCAATTTTCATCTCCATTGTCATCGCCTTTATCTTCATCGTCCATTTGTTTCTCACAATGCACACTAGTTCATACCATTACCAATACCCTAGAGTGAAGTAAACTGTTTCACACTCGTTGAACACTACTCACTTTCTCCTCAATTGAATATCCCACATTATTTATGCAAATGTTCGTCATATAATGAGAATGTGAAAAGATGCAGTTATCACGCCTTTATCCCTTAATGCCTATGCAATCTATTATTTTGTCAGATAACTCTGAGTAGTATTTTCTATTCCTCATAGAGATGCATATTTTGTGTTGTTATTGATTTAAGCGCTCACTGTACTGTGCTTTTGTCTGTCGCCATCTTTTATACTTTTATTCATTTATTTATTGATTTATTGATCCATTTGTCTGTTGGTTTTATTGTTGCATATATTGTTACACCTTATATATATAGTTAGATGTATTAATAAAATATTCCTTACATCATATTGACATTTTGGAATTTGCATTAAAGCAGAGACATAATTTCGTTTTTGAATTAGTTGTGTTCTCTGAGGAGCTGATTGAGTTAATTACGAAGCCTTATAACCAGAAGCTCCTGGGCTCGAAACCCACTGGGGTGGGTGCGTACTGATGAAGAGTCCCAAACTAGGTGGACGAAACAACTATCCAGTACTCCCTGGTTGGTTTTCCAATGGTTCTCTAACTAATGTCAGCACATGATGAAATCCTGTAAGTAATCAAATGAAATCTCTAAAGAGCAATACTTGAAAATAAATGCGAAGCTTTCGTCGTTCCTCTGGAGAACATATTCAGTACGGGTTTTAGTATAATAATTAAAAAAAAAACGATTTAGAACTGCATTATGGATAAGATTTTATTTTCATAAACTCACACAGTGTTCGTTATACAGTAAAAAATTGCTGATGACCACGTTTCGAGTACAAATTATTACTGCTCATAATCATATCAAGGCACTCACTCACACAACTTTCTAACTTCTTTTATATAACTCCGTTAATTTTCGTCGCTTGACTTGATTAGTAGGAGTATTTTCCATATTTGTGATTTGAGTGATAAGTCATTCCTATTGCATGTGGTATGTTATCATTATTAGTTTCTCCATAAGATAAATAAGAGAGGATATAAGGCATCTACAGTTTTATCAGATACCGAGAAGGCATCTGAAAGCCTACGTAGGATTCTCAATAAAGCAGGAATTAGAGTGACATTTAAACCTACGAACTCACTCAGGGACAAGCTCTGTAGGCTCTGTGGACCTAAATAAACAAAATAATATAATTTCCAAAATACCTTGCAATGACTGTGAGTGATGCCAACTACATAAGTCAGTCAAACTAGTAGATCAGGAGTAGTGAGATTGCTTGTCGGAACATAAGAATTTAGCTAAGGTTAGAATGATTGATCCTACGAAGATAAGTAATTCAGAAAAAGGCTCGGCACCTGCCCTGCATGCATTAACACACAACCACAAAATGGGGTTGGAGAGGGTTAAGATTCTAAGAAGTAATCTATGTAGGTGGAGAGAGAGACAGTGATTACTGAAAAAAGGCACAATGAATTCGCGAAAACAGTAAAACACACTTAAGGCAAAGGAAACAAGCAATCGTTAAGCAAAACCATTATTTCTCAGTAGCAGCATGATGCAAAGACATTTATGATTCAGATATACGACCTCATATTGAGTATTTCTAGTCACAAATCAACACTGCATGTGGTATTGTCTAGTCATTCAGCCTATTGATCCCAACATATAGTATAAATTTAGACAAAACAATAAGACGACCTAATTTGTCTGAATCGTGTAATGGATTTGCGCAACATATTTTGAACAATTTGATCATGCAAGAACTTGTCATAGGAATATATATGAAATTACTAAAGAGTTAAGAGGTGAGAAAATAGACTTAGGTCAAGTTAAAAGACCCCATTGAAGGTCAAATACCAATTATTATAATATTATTATTGTTTCCTTTAATTCCTAGAGGAACATAGGGCTTCAGCCTTGCGTCTCCATTGCGTTCGGTTCTCTGCTAGTGTCTTCACCTGGCTCCAAGTCTGTCTACACGCTTTCATCTCCTCTTCACATGACCTCCTACAAGTCACCAACTCACCGCTTCCCGTTCGGGTTCCAATCGAGCAATGGCTTGTCTAGTGATGTCACTTGATGGTTTGTTTTCTCAGAGTATGGCCAGCCAATCCATTTCCATTTCTTCCTGCCTATTTGTTTCACAATCGGTTCTTGCTGGGTTGGTTCGCTCCCAGAGATCTCTATTGCTGATCTTTCCTGGCCATCTGATCTTGAGTGGTATTGAGCGAAGACAACTGTTAATGAAGGTCTGTAGTTTGTTTGAGATGCTGTTTATGACGCGCAGTGCAAGTCTCTGATCCGTATAGTTGCGATCTGGGTAGCTTTGCCAATCTCGTGCATGGTACGGACGTTCCATGTCCCCACACAGACTTTATCTTTTGGCTCAAGGAGATTCATCGTGCTGAAGTTTCTGTAGCAGCTACTAAACCGACCGCCACCTACAACGCGCCCAACAATACCAACAACGGAAGCAGAATTACCAGTGAACATCAACCCCTCGACGAAAACAGAAGTCCTGAAGGCAATCAAGATGCTGAAAGCTGGGAAAGCAGCAGGACCAGATGGAATCCCAGCAGAAGCATTGAAAGTCGACCCAGAGACAACAGCAAACCTGATGACGCCACTACTGGAGAAGGTGTGGAAAGAAGGCAAAGTACCCGAGGATTGGAAGAAAGGATACTTATTCAAGTTACCAAAGAAAGGAGACTTAAGTCAATGCAAGAACTGGCGCGGAATTATGCTCCTGTCCATCCCAAGCAAAATACTAAGCCGCATCATCCTGGAAAGGATCAAACAAGCCCTGGATGAAAACTTCGACCAGAACAAGCTGGATTCAGGAGAAACAAGTCATGTATTGATCGAATCGTTACACTACGGATCATCATTGAACAAAGTTTGGAATGGCAGTCACCTCTCTATCTCAACTTCATCGACTTTGAAAAGGCCTTCGACAGCGAAGAACAACAGGTGATTTGGAAACTACTTCGCTACTACGGGGTACCACCGACAATAATACATCTCATCCAACAGTTGTATGACAACGCTGCATGCCAAGTAATCCACAACGGGAAGCTCACGGAATCCTTCGAAGTGAAGACAGGAGTAAGACAGGGTTGCCTACTATCGCCAATGATTTTCCTGATTGCGGTAGATTGGATAATGCGACAAACAGCGGGCAATGAGGAAACAGGCATAAAATGGACTCACACAAAGAACTTGGAGGATCTGGACTTCGCCGATGATATATGTCTGATTTCCCACAAACTGGAAGATATGCAAGTGAAAAGCAGCAAGTTGGCAGAAGAAGCATCAAAGATAGGACTCCAGGTGAACATAGAGAAAACGGAGGTAATGAAGATCCCTGGCCAACACCAACAACAACAGACAGCAATCAGCATAAATGGAAAAAACCTGAAAGAAACTACCTCCTTTACCTACTTGGGAAGCATTGTTTCAACTACAGGCGGAACTGACGAGGATATCAAAGCAAGGATCGGGAAAGCAAGGCAAGCTTTCATTACTCTCAAGTCTGTGTGGAGATCAACATCATTCAGCATCAAAAATAAAATCGGGATTTTCAACTCCAATGTGAAGTCAGTACTACTATACGGATCAGAGACTTGGCGTGTCACAAAAAGCACCTCAAACAAGCTACAGACCTTCATTAACAGATGTCTTCGCTCAATACTCAAGATCAGATGGCCGGAAAGGATCAGCAACAAAGATCTCTGGGAGCGAACCAACCAGGAACCGATTGTGAAACAAATAGGCAGGAAGAAATGGAGATTGATTGGCCACACTCTGAGGAAACCAGCAAGTGACATCACTAGACAAGCCCTCGAGTGGAACCCGAAAGGGAAGCGACGAGTTGGTCGTCGAAGGGTGACCTGGAGGAGATCATGTGAAGAGGAGATGAAAGCATGTGGGCAGACCTGGAGCCAGGTGAAAACTCTAGCAGAGAACCGAACGCAATGGCGACGCATGGCTGAAGCCCTATGTTCCTCTAGGAACTAAAGGAAATAATAATAATAAACCAAATAAGAGAGTAATAGTGTATTTACCCTGGCTAGATCAGTCTGCACCAAAGAAAGGACTAAACACGTCACACTAGTTACTAGTGTCCAATCAAAATACCCACTACGGTCCTACAGAAGATCAATCGCTAGCCCGAGTAGCTCAGTGGTAACGTCTCTGACTGCAGAACTGGGTGACGTGGACTCGAATCTCAGAAGGGACATGAGTTCCTTCCAGGTTGCAAATACGCCTTGCTGACTGACTGGTGAGTGCCAAGTAGCACGAAACCTAGGTCAAGCAAGGCTTCCTGCCGATTGCTTCCAACCATCTAATATCATCAAATCAATGTGAACCATGATGGTCATCTACTTAGTCGCATGGTGTCCACGCTGCAAACTTAACCGATAGAATTCAGTCTGCTTCAAGGAAAGAAAGTACTAGTCACTTTACTCCAAATACCTGGTATCTCTATATAGCAAAATTATGTACACCTTATCTTCATTACACTATTTGTACAGACCTTCCATGTTGGGCTACTTCCGTTCTTCATACTGTGTTTTTTTGCGTTCCTTTCACATCGTCCATATTACTCCGCAACGCTGAATCAATAGCTATCTCTGACGTCATATCTATCTCCCTGCTGTTTGATGTTTGTATCCTGACCAACGTCTCATTATATACTACTGATAAATCTTATCAGTAGCACGCACCACACTGAGAAGAGGTAAGGTTTAAAGTATTCGACTTACTAGGGAAGCACATTGGAGAACTTTTCACTGTGTTACACTTGAGTTACCGGTATTCACCACTTCCACGAATGCATCGATCCAGTGCCACTTAGTGTCACAGACAAGTAACCTTACTCACAACCGGCCTTCGTAATAACACGCTAATGCCTGTAATTCAGCCACTCATACTAACTGACGTTTATCGGTTCGTCCTATAAGAATACATCTGCT